AAGAAATAAAAGGCATGCAGATTGGTAATGCAGAAGTTAAACTGTCACTATTTGCAGATAACATCATACAATACATAGAAAATCCTTGAGTCCACCAACTATTAGAACTAATAACTGCATTCATCTAAGTTGCAGGATTTAAAATTCATACACAGAAATCTGTTGCATTCTTATATACTATCAATAAACTAGCAGACAGAGAAAACAGGAAAACAATTCCTTTTACAACTGCATCAAAAGTAGAAGATACCTAGGAATAAACCTAACCAAGGAGGTAAAAATTGTATACTCTGAAATCTATGGGACACTCATGAAAGAAATTACTGAAGACACAAATAAATGGAAATCTATCTCATAATGTTGGATAGGAAGAATTAAAATTGTCAAATGGCCATCCTTCTCAGAGGAACTTACAGATTCAATACAATCCCTATCAAAATGTGAATGGCATTTTTCAATAAACTAGCACAAATAGTTCTAAGATTTGTATGGAACCACAAAAGACCCTGAATAGCTAGAGCAATACTGAGAATGAAGAACTAAGCTGGGGGTATTACCCTCCTTGACTTCAAGCTATATTACAATGTATATATATACATTGTACTATATACATACATATGTACTATATATATACAATGTACTATATTACAAATGTATAGTAATCAAAACAATATGGTACTGGAAGAAGAACAGACTCACAGATCAGTGGAACAGAATAGAGAGCCCATAAATAAACCCAGACATATATGGTCAATTAATATATGATAAAGGAGCCATGAAAATACAATAGAGAAAAGAAAACCTCTTCAATAACTGGTGTTGGAAAACCTGGACACTTACATGCAAGAGAATGAAACTGGATTACTACCTAACTCCATATACAAAAGTAAACTCGAAATGGATCTAAGACCTGAATGTAAGACATAAAACCATAAAACACTTAGAAGAAAATATAGGCAAAAATATGTTGAACTTAAGTATGAACAATTTTTTCCCAGACACAGCTCCTCAGGCAAGGGCAGCCAAATAAAAACTGAACAATTGGGACTACATCAAACTAAAAAGCTTTTGTACAGCAAAGGATACCATCCATAGAACAAAAGGGCAACCTACAGTAAAGGATAATATATTCATAAATGATTTATTTGATGAGGGGTTAACATCCAAAATATATAAAGAACCCATATGCCTCAATAAAAAAATAGCCCAATTAAAATATGGGTAAAGAATCTGATCAGACATTTATCCAAAGAAGACATACAGATGTCCAACAGGCACATGAAAAGATGCTCCACATTGCTCATCATCAGAAACATGCAAATCAACACCATAATGAGATATCATCTCACACCAGTCTTAATGTCCACTACCCAAAAGAGAAGCAATAACATGTGTTGGCAAGGATGTGGAGAAATGGGAACCTTCCTACACTATTTGTGGGAATGTAAGTTGGTACAACACTGTAGAAAGCAGTATGGAGGCTCCTCAAAAATCTAAAAATAGAGGTACCACTTGTAGGAATTTACCTGAATAAAACAAAGTCCCTGATTTGAAAAGATATGCAAACCTATGTTTATTGATGGATTATTTAAAATATCCAAGATATGGAATCAACTTGAGTGTCCATGAATAGATGAATAAGGAAAACATGGTACATATACTCCATAGAATATTATTCAGCCATAAAAAATGAAATCCTGCTATATGCAATGACAAGGATTGATGTAGAAGGTTTTATGCTCAGAGAAATTAGCCTGGCAGTGAAAGAAAATTCCATATGATTTCACTTATTTGTGGAATATAAATACAAAGCAAAACAGAATGAACAAGACAACAGTAGATTCACAGACACTTAGAAGTGGCTAGTTTTTACCATGAGAGGAGAGGTTGGAGTGGGTGAGTGGTTGGGCAGCATGAGGCGGATAAAAAGGCACAATAATACTCAATCATAATAAAAGTTGGTCAATGATTCTATAACATTCTTTCTATGTGTGCATAGTAACCAATAATAGAGCAGGTGGGGACTTACTAATATAGGTAACTGTGGAACCACTGTGTTGTATATTTGAAACCCGTATAAGACTATATGTCAATGATACTTCAATTAAAAAAAGTTGTGGTATACATACACAATGGAATTTTAAGCAGTTATAAAACAATGAAATCTTTCCATTTGTGACAACATGGATGAACCTAGTGGGTGTTATACTAAGTGGAATAAGTTAAAGACAAATACCACGACTTCACTTATATGTGGAATCTAAAAAAAAATAAAACCAGTTAACAAACAAAGCATAAATTGTCTCATAAATAGAGAGAACAAGCTGTTGGTTGCCATTGGGGGTGGGGTGGGAGAATGAGTGAAATAGATGAAGGGGATAAAGAGGGACACATTTCCCATTATGAAATAAAAAAAGGGGATAAAATGTACAGCATAGGGAATTTAAGAAATAAGGTAATATCTTTGTATGTTAAGAATTAGTAAGTACACTCATATTGCTGAACGTTACATAGTTTATATAATTGTTGAATCACTATGTTGTACACATGAAACCAATATAATACTGTATGTCAGCCATGTTTTATTGTTATATATAAAAAACAAAAAGCAAAAATAAAAAGAAATAAAGTAACAGTTATTACCTAAAATGTGAGTGATTGTAGAAGTAAGTTTAGGAATGCTTAAAACAGGGTATTATAATCTTAAAATGTTTTATGTAAGCTTTCTGGTTACCACAAGGGAAAATCCTGCAGTAATTGAACATAACAGCCTAATTAAGAAAACATACTGATGACCAAGACATCAAAACAATTAAACTTAGCAGGATAAGAGACAAGAAATAGTGAATCTACAAAGCAGCCAGGAAAGAATTAATCAAATGGCAATAGTAAGTCTTTACTCATCAATAATTACTTGAAATGAGAATGTATTAAATTATCCAATCAAAACACAGAATGGCTTAATGAATATAAAAACAAGAATCAAGTATACATTGTATACCAGAGACTCATTCTATCCTTAAAGGTATACATAGACTGACAGTGAAGGGATGAAAAAAAAATATCAAGCAAATGGTAACCAAATGAAAGGAGGAGTAGGTACACTTATATAAGACAAAATAGACCTCTTTGACCACAATGGTATGAAACTAGAAATCAATAACAGGTGGAAAACTGGAAAACTCACAAATACATGGAAATTAAACACTTTTCTGACCAACCAATGGATTAAAGAAGATTTTAAAGGGGAATTTTAAAAAGTGTCTTGAGGAAAACAGAAAGGGAAATAGAATACATTAAAATATATGGGATGTAGCAGAAGCTGTTCTGAGAGGGAAGTTCATAACAACAAATGGTTATGTTAAAAAACAAAGATCTCAAATAATCTAACTCTATGCCTCAAGGAACTAGAAAAAGAGTAAACTGAGCCCAAAGGCAGCACACAGAAGGAAATAATGAACATAAGGGCAGAAATAAATGAAACAGAGAACAGGAAAAAATGGGAAAGACTAAGAAAACTAAGAGGTGTTTTTTTGAAAACAAAAATAAATCTGATAAACCTTTAGCTTGACTAACCAAATGAAAAATATAGACGATCCAATCAAATAATTATAAATAAAACAGGAGATATTACAACTGACACCACAGAAATGCATAGTATCATAAGATCTACTATGAATAACTATATACTAACAAGTAGGAAGACTTAGAAGGAATTGAAAACAGAATTATACAATCTAACAAGACTCAATCACGAAGAAATAGAAAAATTCGAGCAGACCACTTACTTGTAAGGAGTTTGAATCAGTAATAAAAAATTTCCCAATGAAGAAAATGCCAGGACCAGATGGCTTCCTCAGTGAGTTTTACTAATCATTTATGGAAGAATTAACATCAATCCTCAAATTCTTTCAAAAGCCAAGGAGGAAGGAACACTCTGAAACTTATTTTATGAGGTGAGCATTACCTTGATACTAAAGCCAGAAAGGAACACTAGCAGGAATGAAAACTATAGGCCAATATCCCAGATTAACATAAAAGCCATGAGGGATGGGTAGAGGGGATAGGTGAAATATGTGAAGGGGGAAAGTAGTCAGAATGCTTGATATCTTGATCTAGGTGATGATTACATGAGTGTATACATATGTCAAAATTTATCAAGTTGTCCACAAAGATGTATGCATCTCAATATAACAATTCTAAAAATTTTCATTAAAATACTAGTAGACCAAATTCAGTAGCACATTAAAAGTATCCTTCACCATGATCAAGTGTGATTTATCCTTGGGATGCAAGCACGGTTCAACATACACAAATCAATCAATGTGATACATCAGATTAATAGGATGAAGGGAAAAAATCATATAATCAATCTCATTAGACACAAAAACATGATGAAATTCATCATCTGTTAATGATAAAAACTCTTAATTAATCAGATGTGGAAGAAACGTACCTCAACAAAAAATAAAAGCCATATATGTAAAACACACAGTTTATATTATACTTAATTGTAAATGGATGAAAGCTTTTACCCCAAGATCAGGTACAAGACACATGTGCCCACTTTAATCCCTCCTACTCAGCGTATTAATGGAAAGCCTAACCACAAGAATCAAGCAAAATAGTGAAAGTCATTAGAATTGGAAAGTAAGAAATAAAACAGGCTGTTTGCAGATGACATGATTTTATATATAGAAAATCCTAAAGGCTCCACCAAAATACTGTTAGATATAATAAATAAATTCAATAAACTTGAAGAACATCAAATCAACATACCCAGATCAGTAACATTTCTACATGCTAACAATAAGTTATCTGAAAAAGAAACAGAGGAAACAATCACATTTACAACAGCATCAAAAAGAATAAAATTCCCTGGAATACATTTAACCTAAAAAGTGAAAAATCTCACCCGCCCCCTCCGCCGAAGCGCGGCCACCTCCGGCCAGAGCCACGCGGTCTCCCAGGCGGGCTGGGGCTCGGGCCTGCAAAGCGCGATGGTGACTTTGCGGCAGGACGGCCGGCTGACGGGCAGCCAAGGGCTGCTGTGCGCCGGGCTGGCGGGGGCGCTGAGCCTCAGCCTCACCGCGCCGCTGGAGCTTGCCACCGTGCTGGCCCAGGTCGGCGTCGTGCGGGGCCGCGCCCGGGGTCCTGGGGCCGCGGGGCTCCGGGTGTGGCGGGCTGAGGGGCCCCAGGCCCTGTGGAAGGGGAACGCAGTGGTACCTGCGCCTCTTCCCCTGCAGTGCCTTGCAGCTCGCCTCCTACCGCAAGTTTGTCATGCTGTTCACTGATGACTTGGGCCATATTTCCCAGTGGAGTTCTATCATGGCTGGGAGTCTTGCAGGCATGGTTTCCACCATTGTGATATATCCTACAGACCTCATCAAAACCCGGTTGATTGTACAGACCATGCTGGAACCATCTTACAGGGGGATCCTCCATGCTTTTTCTACTGTTTATCAACAGGAAGGATTCCTGGCCCTTTATCGAGGAGTTTCCCTTACTGTTTTAGGTGCTCTCCCCTTCTCTTCTGGCTCCCTTCTCATTTACACAAATCTGGAGAAAATCTAGAATGCACGCCAAGATCGGTTCTCTCTCCTCCAGAACTTTGCCAATGTCTGCCTGGCTGCTGCAGTGACCCAGACCCTCTCCTTTCCCTTCAACACAGTGAAGAGAAAGATGCAGGCTCAGAGCTCGTATCTTCCCCACTGTGGAGGAGTAGATGCCCATTTCTCAGGAGCAGTGGACTGCTTTCAGCAGATAGTGAGGACCCAAGGGGTACTGGGGCTCTGGAATGGATTGACAGCCAACTTACTGAAGATAGTTCCATATTTTGGAGTTATGTTTGGTACCTTTGAGTTCTGCAAGAGAATCTGTCTTTACCAAAATGGTTACACTGTGTCTCCTCTGAGCTATAAATTGACCCCAGGAGTGGATCAGAATTTGAAGCCCAAGGAATTACGAGAATTAAAAAAGTTCAAAACTGGACAACTGAAGTCTAAAAAACCAACTGTTTAAATGGAACTGGAAGTGCACAGACTGAAGGTGTGTTGCAGTCACAGATAAAAGTAGCCTCCTAATTGTGCATGTGTGGAGTAACGAGAAGGTACTCCTGTCTGTTGCTATTGGAAATGAGAAGATTCAGCCATACACCACCTCTGAGCTTCAAACTGACGTCCCTGTGAACACGTGCCCCTCGAGATTTCCCAACATGACCATCTCATGACTGACATTCCACCAGATTTTACAACAAAACCTAGCAGTAATGAAATGTAGAGTTTACAACCTGAATGCAAACCTGCAGTTTACGTGACACCAAAGAAAGGGCATTGCCATGACACCTCAAAGCAGCCTGTAGTTGAAGTGGCTGAGCAGATACCATGGCGTGAGCTCTGCTACAGGGTCACAGCTTGCACTAACTCACATCAGTCTCATTTTGTTGTTTGACCTGAGACTTCCCAATACAGTTGATCTGGAACTCGTAATATTTGCTGACTTCTGAATGTACATACAACAGTGTAAATTATGCCTTATTAGAAACTAAATGAAAACATGTAACATTTAAAAGTTATCAGGATCATAGTAGAACCATCCTTCTTTATTTAAATTTTAAGCATGCCAGGATTAGGTGTTTCAGGAATCTCATATTTCAGGAAAGTGATTTTGACCATGACTGCATGCCCCAAAAGACCTTATTCTGTTTGAAATCATGTACAGTTCAAGTAGCCTGAATTCTATGCCTTTTTAAATTGCTTTGCAAACCTACCCTGAAAACCAATCACCTAGTTAAGTTATTCCCACAAGATGTCCCAGTTGACTAGAAAGGCTCAAATAGGACCTTTGACACACCTACCAAAAAAAATGTAACTGAACAAAAATATTTCAGACTCATCTCTACTAGGTTTTTTAAAAGTCAGATTTTGGACTATTCCACCTTGGGAACTCTGTGTCAAGTTTATATAACTACTTTCAGATGGTGCCTATCTGTGCATTAAAAAACTATCTTCTATTAAGTTAATTTATATATCCACACATATACTTTCAGTATGTTGAAAGTACTTTACCCTATTAAATCTAATTTCCAAAGAAAAATGTTACATTGCTCTTTCATTACAAATCTGATTTATAAAATTATGGTTAAATATATACTGGCCAAAAATCTTTAAACTCTCAGAGCTTTATCCTATTAAAATATACCAAAATAACTCCTTTTTCCAACTGCTGTGGCAGACTGTTTTACAGAGAATATCAGTTAACAGACATGTGAAAATCTCATCTGTAGTCCAATCTGTTAGCATTTGGAGGGTCACAGATTGTTACCCAGAGTGCATAGTTCATGGCTGTTACTCTATTTTCCTTGAGGTTAACAACTTTTTGTGAAAGTTCTGAAAACTGCAAAAAGTATATATATATTTTTTACTAAATCTAAAATCCTAACCTCAGGTTACTTATATCATATTAATATCTCCTGACTATCTTCTGCAAGTGTTGTGAGATAGATAGCTAAGCTCTTGCTACTGCCACACACACGAATGTTTTCTGAACTCCAGTTGGATTATTTTTTTCAATAAAGTAAGTGGAAAAAAAAGTGAAAAATCTCTACTCAGAAGGCTACATGACAATGATGAAAGAAATTGAAAAAGAGAAATAAATGGAATGTTAGCTTGTGTTCATGGATTGTAAGAATTAATATTGTTACAATGTTCATCCACAGCAAAGCCATCTGTAAGTACAATGCAATCCCTATCAAGATTCCAATGGCATTTTCTACTGAAGTAGAAAATAATTTTAAAATGTATAGGGAAGCACAAAGAATCCCTAATAATCAAACACTCCTGAGAAAAAAACAAAAGCAAGAGGCATCATACTTACTGATTTATAAAGCTATAGTAATCAAAACAGTATGGTGCTGGCATAAAAACATACACATAGAGCAATGGAACAAAACTGAGATCGAAGAAATGAACCAATGCATATATGGTAAACTAATATTTGACAAGGTGGACACGAATACACAATGGAGAAAAGACAGTTTCTCCAATAAATGGTGATGGGAACATTGGGTATTCATATGCAAAAGAATGAAACTAGACCCCTATCTTTAATCACTTACAAAAATTAATTCAAAATGGATTAAAGACTTAACTGTAAGGCTGGATACCATAAAACTCCTAGGAGACATAGGAAAAAAGCTACTTGACAGGGGTCTTAGAAATGATTTCTATATATATGAAACCTAAAGCACAAACAACAACAAAAAAAACACAGGTGTGACTACATCAAACTAAAAAGCTTCTGTACAGAAAAGGAAATCATCAAAGTGAATAGGCAACATACTGAATGGAGAAAATATTTACAAGTCATATATCTATGAGGGGTTAATATCCAAAATATTATGTAACTCATACAAATCAATAGCAAAACAAAAAATACAATTAAAAATGGGCAGAGGACCCAAACAGATATTTTTAAGAAGATATATGAATAGTCAATAGGAACATGAAAAGCTGCTAAAAATCACTAATCATAAGGGAAATGCAAATCAAAATCACAATGAGATATCACCTCCTAACTGTTAGAATGGCTACCCTAAAAAATACAGGAGATAACAAATGCTGGTAAGAATGAGGGATAAAAGGGAACCCTGTGCACTATTGATGAGACTGTAAATTGGTTCAGCCACTACATAAAACAGTATGGAGCATACTGAAAAAATTAAATATAGAATTATCATGTGATCCAGAAATTTCATTTCTGGATATATATCCAAAGGAAATGAAAACTCTTTGTTGAAGAGATATGCACATCTCCATGTTCATAACAGGATTATTTACAATAGCCAATATATGGAAACAACCTAAGTGGCTATCAACAGATCAATGGATAAAGTAGTTTTGATACATAGATACACATATAGGTATAGAGATTTAAATGTAGATATAGGTAGATAAATAAATACAATAGAATAATATTCAACCATAAAAAGAAGGAAATCCTGCCATTGGCAGTAATACAGATGGACCTTGAGTGAATAATGCTATGTGAAATCAGTCAGACATAAAAAAACAAATACTGTATGATCTCACTTATATGTGGGATCTAAAAAAAGGAAAACAACTTCATACAAAAAGGGATTGGCTTTGTGGTTACCAGAGGAGAGAGTTTGGGGAGGGGAAATTAGATGAAATTGGCAAAATGTACAACTTTCAATTATAATATAAATAAGTACTAAGGATATAATGTACAACATGATGACTATAATTAACACTGCTGTATGCTATATTTGAGTGTTGTTAAGAGAGTAGTCTCCAAGAGTTCTCATCACAAGGAAAAAAACACTTTTTTCTTTTTCATTTTTTTATATCTATGTGAGATGATGGATGTTAACTAAACATATTGTGGCAATAATTCCATAACACATGTAAGTGAAATTACACTGAACACATTTAACTTATACAGTGATGTATATTAAGCATATCTTAATAAAACTGAAAATAAAAGATATAGAAGAAAATAAATACCAAAAAAGTAAAAAGAAAACCAATAAATGCATTCTCCATATTAATAGAATAAATTTAAAAATGTACATGAATATCTCATTAGGTGCATAAATATTTGACAAAAATCCAAAACCCTTTTAGGATAAAAGCATTCAACAAACCAGGAGTAAAAGGGAACTTCCTCATCCTGATAAACAGCATGTACAAAAAACTCACAGGTAACAACATACTTAATTATGAGAGTCTGTGTGTTTTCCACCTAAGATCAGGAAGATAAATATATCTGGTCTTAACACTTCTGTTCAATATTTTACTAGAGAAACTAGCAATTAGTCAAGAAAAAGAAATAAAATGTGGTTTTTTCACAAGTGAAGCTATCTGTGCTTGTAGATGGCATTATTTTACATATAGAAAACCCTCAGAAATCCACTACTGTGTATTATAACTAATGGATTAACACATCATCAGGATACAAGATCAATATAGAAAACTAAATGAACAATCATTTAATTAATTTAATAGTTAAATTAAAAAATAAATTCCACTTAAAATGGCATCAAAAAGAGTTATATATTAGGAATAAATTTAACAAAATAAGTTCAAGAATTAACTAAAAAGAAGAACACATTGTTGAAAGAAATCAAAGATCTAATAACTGTAAAGGCATAGTATGTTTATGATTCAGGAGATACAATATTATTAATATAGCAATGCTCCCAAAATTGAACTACAGAATGAACACAATCTTTATCAAAATTCCAGCTAGCTTTTTTTTCAAAAATTGATAAGCTTATCTTAAAATTCATGTACAAATGCAAGTAATCCAGAATAGTCAAAATAATTTTGAAACTGTAGAATACAGAAGACACACACTTTCCAATTTTAAAATAGTCAAAATAATTTTGAAACTGTAGAATACAGAAGACACACACTTTCCAATTTTAAAATAGTCAAAATAATTTTGAAACTGTAGAATACAGAAGACACACACTTTCCAATTTTAAAACCTAACACAAAGTTGCAGTAATCAAAACAGTGTGGTTTTAGTATAAGGATAGACATATACATCAACGGAATAGAACTGAGAGGTCAGAAATAAACTCTTACATATGATCAATTGATTTTGAGAAGGATGGCAGGCCATTCAATGGGGAATGTATATATTTTCAACAAATGATGCTGGGATATCTCTATGGAAAAGAATCAAGGTGATCTCCTTTCTCACATCATACACAAAAGCTGTCTCAAAACAGATGACAGGCCTACATGTATTATATACAAGTATAAAATTATTAGAGGAAAACATAGGAGCCAGTCATCATTACTTTGGCTTAGGTAATAGTTTCTTATAGATAGCACAAGAGATAGACAAAATAGATAAACTGGACTTCATCAAAATTGAAACTATTGTATATAAATAATATCAAGAAAGTGAAAATACAATATATGGAGTAGGGAGAAAATATTTGCAAGTCATATATTTGATAAGAACTAGTACAGATAATATATAAAGAACTG